GGTTGAAACCACGGGTCAATTCTCAGGGTAGCTTCAACAAATGTTGGTTTCTTTTTCCTTGAGCGAGCTTACGTTTGGTAGGGGGAAAGACCTTTGGATGATGAGAAACTCTTCCGTGTGACAAGATGCAGTTCCTCGTTCCATCTCGTGCCCAGGGTTGCCGGTCATTTGTGAAAAAGGCGAAACAAGCAATAGTTTTCTGCGATGGTCCACATACTAAGGAAGGATGAGTGCTGATAGCAACTAATCCAGTCTGAACATAGGCACCACCTGCAACTGAGTGCGATGAACACCTGAACAGTTGTGGGTTGCCATGTCCGATGGCCTTCGCTTTTGCCACTTTGCAGACTGAATGTGTCGAGTACAAATGATCAACACCAATGACCAGAACCTCCAGGAGAACATTTCGGCTGTGTGGTTTCAGATAGGCCAAGGCTGTGTGCCGGTCAAGAGTTGTCAAGCAGAAGGCAGAACAGCTCACGGACCAGGGGCCAAATTGCGTATGCAATGCTTTTCCGCTGCGTATCCTTCAAATTTGTTGTGCACAAAATCCCTGATGCAGGCAATATCCCTAAGCCGACTCCGACGGCGGCTGCAACCCGACAATTTTCATTCACTTTGGAGCTGAAAACAGAACCATGCCCGGTTCGCCATGCTCATAGTTTCCATAATTGGTCCCTTATAAGGAAAACTAGCGATGACCGGTGACCAATTTAGTTAGTAAAGAGCGATTGTCACATATGAAACGTTGACTGAGCGCTTGGAAAAGCAATAGGTCCCTCTCAAAAACAAGGCGGTAACCATATGCACGTCAATTATAGCTCTTGACATCTCAGGTGTCATGACCGTGTGGCGGGGACCCTAAAAAGCGATAGGCCGACTTCAAAAGCGACACCCTTATCGAACCGTCCCCGTTTCTTTTCCCATTGGTTCTGGCAGGCGTTCAGCCCTTTTTGTCTTTGTCGGTTTAACGTGTAAGATCCTTTTGTCCCCATCCCCTCAACTGTGGTTATGTTCCGGATCATTTTGATGCTCCTTGAGCAAGCACGTTGCCGAAAAGGTGTTAAATTGAAAGAATGCATGGGTTGTTGATTTCCACAAGAGGGCCGCATGAGGCTTTTTCTTGGAAACAACCTGCGATTCTTGAACTGGGGTACTAGGCCGGCAATAGGAGGCTTAAGAAAAGATTTGGACAACCCCCAGATGTCCAGCCAAATGCTGGAGTCTTCGGTGTGCGGTTGGGTCGCACTCTTCCTGCCCAGCAAAGACGTATACCTATGTGAGCAGCGACCAAAACCTCCCATGTATTAAATTGAAGGACGTTGCTGTAAGATGCCTTCGCGAATGGTGAACACACGGTCGCCAACGATTCGCGAGAGATTTTGGGAGCTTTTCATGCACGAATGCTTGCAAAAGCTTTATTTTTGATACCAGCAGACGTTCATACTTGGAATGGCACGCATGCAGGTAAAACCTCGCATGGCTCGTACAAAGCAGCCCTGTCCGCGAAAGCTTGCAAACGTGGTTTTGCACAGATTGCAGAGCACCAGAGCCAAAACAGAAGTCGGGAAAGTGTTGCCAAAGACATGTGCCAAAGAAACGCCCATTAGAGCAAGTTCTCGACAGGTCTTGAAGAATGGTCATGTCTCTTTTCCAACTTCGTGCGTTTGGTCAGTCTAAGTAAAAGAGACTAAGATAATGCATTACTAGCGCCTTGAACCAGGTCAATGTTGCGCGCAGATATGTCTTCTTCTCAAAGGTGATCTCGGATGAAGCCCGAACACTCCATTCCACCCACGAGGATCAAATTGACCATAGACCTTTCAGAAGTGCTGGAGAAGCCAGAGGAGTCAGCGCCAACTTCCACAGATGTTGATGTCTTTGTTTTCAGCAAGGTCACGTTTGGCAAGGGGGCAGCCTTCCGATGATGAGAAACTTTTTGCACGACAAGGTGCCACCATTCTTCAACAGGTTGGATGATGAGAAGCTCTTCCGTGTGACACGATGCAGTTACTCCATCTCGTGCTCAGGGTTGCCACGCGTGAAAAATGCTGAAACTGCCGGTTTCTGCATGTGGGACGATCGATATGAAGACCAACTGCGAAGACCAAGGGTGTTTGTCGTGATTTTGCCTAATCCAGTCTGACCATAGGCTCAACAGTTGTTGGTTTCCATGTCCGATGGCCTTCGCTTTTGCCACTTTGCAGACTGAATGTGTCGAGTACAAAAAGAAGACTGAATCAATTTGATCAACACCAATGACCAAAACCTCCAGGAGAACATTTCGGCTGTGTGGTCGCAATTAGGCCAATGCTGTGTGTGTTTACCCGCAAATAGGCCAATGTTCTGTGTATTTCCACCACTTGCCAGGCTTTTGGTCGATCATTTTACACCACCTGGAGGTTACCCCTACCAGACCAGGGTGTGCCACGCTCCACCCGTCACACTCGAGTTCCTCACACGACTTCGCGAGCCCGTGCGTCGACGAGGTCGAGCCCTGCAGTCAATGCGTCGACGTGTCAAGGCGTCGTTCCGATCTAAAGCGAAGGGATGTCGATGACGGAAGGTCGATGAAGCTCCTTCCTCTCTCTGGAGGCATTCGCAGTTTCAGCTCACAGTTTCAATTCGCGGGCGAGGCTCGATATGCTCCGACCCAAAGTTGTGAAAGTTGCACAAACGTTTGCCACTTCCAAGCAGAAGCATCTGAGTAACATCCAAAATACGGAAAACACTTTTTGGGCCCAGAGGTGTTGGCGCTTCACCCATTTTTGTCTTGGTGACCGAATTCGAAAGCGTCACATCAACTGTTTCTCTCTCTCTCTCTCATTCTGTGAGTGTTTCGCACCCCTGCGATTGCGTAACCGGTGCACCGCTAGTGCCCTAGTCCATTTCCCCTACCTCAAGTGTCTTTGTTTGGACAAATCTAGAAGCAGGGCAGCCAAGCGCTCCAGCCAACGATGATTCGGGTCTCAGTTCGCCAGGTTATAGAGAACATTTGGGACTTCCACCGGTGGATTGTTGAGACAAGCGAGCTGTCAATTGTGGTTGGCATTCAGCTAATTCCTTGGCAAGTCTTCCTTTTGGTTTGCGTGCTTCCTATAAACCCTAGGGCTCCAACCACCTCCTGAGAAGATGGTTGGGGTGGGTTTGGGGGGTCTAACCACCTTCTGAGGAGATGGTTGGAGCCCTAGGGAAATAAAAACTCATCAGTTCGCCAGTGAATATACAAAAAGATCTGCTAACCAAGTCTAGAGTTGCTGTACGCAACATCACCGAACATGGTGGATGCTTTTTTGGCCAAAGCTGATTGATTCGCAACATATGAACCCCTCTTTTGCCGCCACCGACATTTGCTGCGCTGATCTGACGAGCCAGGGCCGTTAGCTCAGTGTTCGGCCGTTTTCCATCCATAGGTTGACCTGAGACAGGTTGACCTGAGACACACTCTGATGGTCCCAAAACCGAGAGAAGCCACCAAAAGGACGGTCGGACCGAAGATCATCGCGGCCCGACCGTGCCGATACGCGAAGGGCGACCTGAGGCAGACAGCGAAGAGCGTCTGACACGGTAGAAATGCGGACACTGACGTGGGGCATGTGGTTTTTCCAGCAGAGGTGGGGAAGACCCCAAACTAGACTATCCCAGTTGGGTACCCCTGGTGACGGGTCCTATTTACGGTCACTTAACCTCTGTTGGATAGCGTTTGAAACTCTATTGCTTTTGGCGGGTCTTTTTTGGGCGCTTGCGCTTACGCGCTGGCAAACGCGCGGACCATCGACGCTGTAGACGGTCATGGCCGATGGGACTTCTGCCCCGAAGCAGGTGGGGCGCGCCAGGGCCTGGTCCTTAGGTCCTGATCATGTGGAGCAGACTGTGTGTAAGGAGATGTTTGGTGGCTTCGTGGTCCCGAATTAAGAGGTTTGGTTTGGAAGCAGACCCCTGGGGCAGGGACGAATTTCCTAAGCTGACCTGTGCAAAGCCGGCCCCAACTTGTGGATGTTGCTGTGACCAAAGCTGATTGAGTTGCCTTCTTTGTTGCTCTGCGTTTCCGCTCACAGTTGTTGTTTTTTCTTGCAAGGCGTGCCTTTGAGACATGTGAATATGTATAGCAGCCGTTTGAAGCCATACTGCTTTTGGGGGTCTGATCAAGCCTGCAATCGCGGACCGTAGACAATCATGAGACCTTGATCCTATTTGTGTGAGACAGACTCCAACAATGGTCCCATGCAAAAGGATTTTTTGTTGCATTGAGGGTCCTGAATTCGGAGTTCAGCGGCCAGAGTTGGAAGCTATAATCCCTAGGGCTCCAACCACCTCCTGAGAAGATGGTTGGGGTGGGTTTGGGGGGTCTAACCACCTTCTGAGGAGATGGTTGGAGCCCTAGGGAATATCTTTGGAACTATATTCCTGATCTGAAATGTGTTGAAGCATGTTGAAGCCATACTGCTTCAACGGGGGGAACGGCAGCAGCAGCAGCAGCAGCAGCAGTATGGGTTTCACATGAACAAGCGGTCTCACGTCAATGTTCATTGACCGAGGATCACTGTCTTCCGTTTTCGTGAACATGGAAAGCCTTCCTTTCATCGGACTGCCGACCAAGTATGACCATATACGTACTTGCAATGTATACAGTAGGTAGATGAACAAAGGAACACTTCGCAGAGCGGCTGTAAGCCATGTTGCGCTGCCCATTGCACAAATTTTGCTGCGAGAAACCTTCTGAGCCGCAGGCCCTTATGTGGATGTCTAGTGTGACAGAGAGAGAGAGAGAGAGAGTTAGAGAGAGAGAAAGAGAGAAAGAGAGAAAGAGAGAAAGAGAGGAAGAGAGGAAGAGAGAAAGAGAGAAAGAGAGGAAGAGAGGAGGAGAGAAAGAGAGAAAGAGAGAAAGATAGAAAGAGAGAAAGGGAGAAAGAAAGAAATACATAAAGAAAGAAAGAAAAGAAAAGAAAATAACAGAACAGAAAAGAAAATAAATAAAGAACGAACAAACGAAAGAACGAAAGGAAGAAAAGACGGAACGAAAGAACGCAAAAAAGAAAAATAAATAATTAATACAGAAATAAATAATGACAGAACAAATAAAGAAAGAATGTCAGAAAAGAAAGAACGACATAAAGAAATAAATACATGAAATACATTAAAGAAATAAAGAAAGCAATACATCAAACAAATGAAATTGTGAATGGAAAAGCACAACCCAAAGCATACCTTTTTTCGTGAAGGTCTTGAACACCTGAGAAAGGTGAACCCATGGTCAAAACGACCTGCGTTTGGCTCAAGGAACAACGTGAGCGGCTGTTCGTTTTGTCGGTCGCTCTTGAGGCTTTTTCCATAACCACAGGTTATGAGCCCAAGACGCTCCCCGTGTTTGCGCTTCGAAGTCCACCCTCTAGGAAAGAGGTCGCTGGTCCCCATGAGCGGCTGAGATCAACGAGGGCAACTACGTGTGGGTGCCGCTGATGAGAGGCTCGACCCCGTCCTGGAGGAGGCAAGAGCAACCTCGATGCCACCTGCTGTGAAGAGGGTGGGAACGGCACCAGCGGCCATCGAGGCCAGGAGGTCTTCGGCGGCTGCAGCTGGTAGAGCTGATGGTGATCGGCAGAACTATGGACCTGCAATCTCTCGAGGTGTTGCAAAGGGCCTTTGGACATGCACCCCAAGGACCGACACCTGTGGGACCGCCGCCTTCTGAGGGACTTCTTGGACCCCTATTTCATGGCCGTGATTCGGGACCCCGACAAGCAGTCGATCATGGAGGACTCGGAGGGCAAGGTGGTTGGGGAGCTGCACCAAAAGGTTCGCCGCAGTTTCCGATTCCCCCTCGAGCTGATCGTGGCGGCATGAATGTTGAAGGTGGTCCACAACCCAGAGTGCTTGAACCCTATGACATGGCCACACCCTAACCTGGGCGGCAACAGACTAATCCCTTCTGGAGCGACCGTGGTCGAGATCCTGAGGTGGGAACCCGTTCTGAGCGACCTCAACCTCCGAGCAAAGAGGCCAAGAGGAGTCCGACAACTCAGGAACTGGAAGCCATCCGGGAGCGCATCCTCAAGGAAGCCCATGAGAACTTTGAGAAGGAGGTCAAGAAGCTCACAGGTGGTGGGGATTCATCGTGAAAGGGCTAGGCAACGTGCTTCTCGAGAAGGTCACCCGAATTGGTGAGGGAATTCCTTTGGCATCTACCACTGAGGCCCTGCAGAACCTGGAGCTTCCATCCCTTCCTGCACCCAATCAAAAAAACCTCAATCCTCTTGGGCGACTGGCTCACAATGGCCTTCCCTCTGATGGCGGACATCTCCAACTCGGCGAAGGCATGGTGGGAGGAATCACTGATGGTTGCTCAAGAGCACTACTCACGCTGGCTGCTGTGGGGCATTGCTATGTTGCTGGGCGCGCTACCTGACCAACTCCGACGAGACTTGGTGTCAGGGAGGCAGCTCTCGGTGCAACTCCGACGAGACTTGGTGTCAGGGAGGCAGCTCTCGGTGGTGCACATCCTGTACCGGCTCCATGTTGCCTACCAACCAGGTGGTGGAGCTGAGAAGACGCAGTTGCTCAAGAACTTGGTGGAGTCCAAATTCTCCACCTCAGTGGGAGAGTTGTTGATGCAGGTGAGATTGTGGAGGAGGTGGCTGTCCCGGGCGCGAGAGCTCCATCTGAATCTTGGACCCCATAGTCCTCATGGTCGCCCTGCAGCGGATGATTGAGAGCACCCAGAAGGCAGGAGGCACACAAGTGTCTTTCAGAATTTCGAACGTTCGGCAAGAACTCCGAGTAGACTATGCAGCTTCCTTGGAGGGAGTCACGGAACTAAGGGTGGAGCACCACTGTCTCAGTCAGCCGCCTCGTCCAATCAAGCAGCTTCGACGTCACTGAAGGCTATGGCATCGTCATTTGGGGCCGCCGAGAATGAGGAGCGTGTAGCTGCGAAACCTGCGTGCAAGTTTTGGAAGTCGGATGAAGGGTGTAAGAAGGGAACTTAATGCACCTTTGTCCACGACACTTCAGACATGAAGAATCGATGTTTTGGTTGTGGTGGGAATTACATGAAGCGTGAATGTCCTCACCAACCCAAGACTGTGAAGACCGACCAGAAGAAGGTGTCAAAGGTGAAGGCCGCCAAGGAGGGCGACAGGGTGGAGACGGCGGAGAAGATCACCAAGGAGCTGCCTGGAAATGAGGAGCCGGTGGGGGGGCCATCACCATCTCCTACCACGACCACATTGGGTCGGGAAGCGACGGCGGAGTTGTTGTCTGAGGCAACCTCTCTCCTCAAGACGCTCAGGAGCATGAAAGTGCTTCGTGTGAAGGAGTTGAAGCCGGTGGGCACTGATGGCTTGGGGCCAGTTGGACTGTTGGATGGTGGTGCAACAAATGGCCTGCGTCGAGCACACCAACAGGAGCTGGAGAGGATGTACCCGGTGAGGGTGGAATTGGCCTCGGGGTCGACTACATTGTTCAGGGTGGATGACCACAAGACCTTGTTGTCGAAGGACCATGTGGAGGTCATCTGTCCCGCTCCATCGATTGGTGGGCTTGGGGTATCGACTTCAGTGGACGTCGGCCGGTGTGAAGATCAATCATCTTGATCATGGCAGGATTGACTGTGCCCCACGTGGGGGATGTCCTGTGCTACCTGAAGCCAAGGCGCTGGAGCTGCTCAGCGTTATGGAGAAGGCTGATCGGGGGGAGCTCTTCACGGATGGTCATCGAGGTTCCCTGAGGTCCCTACAGAGGTTTGGGAGTTCATGAAGGGCCAGGACTGCTATGATGCCTGTACGTGTCCTTGGAATCGACGTCAGCGACGAAGACATCTGGATTGGGGTGGCTTTGAGATTTTGAATGTGGACGTGATGATGGGCACACAGTTCGATCTCCATGGCATTGGAACCTGGGGGTATCTATGCCACTTGGCCCGACGAGGTCTGGTTGTCGCTGTGCAGGCGGCCCACCCTGCCGCACAGTGTCTCGGTTGAGGCACCGTGCACCGGGTCCGCGCCCGTTGAGGGGTCGTGATGACCGTAGGTTCATGCTGGAGGGGCTGTCCTCGGTGGAGCAGGAAGCGATTGCGCTTTGATGATGAAGCAGATTGGACTTTGGCTCCTCGCTGATGAACATCGTGGAGATCGACCAGAGCCTGGATTCTTGATGGAGTCGCCAAGAGACCCAATGGACTACATGCCGAAAGAGGCCACCAAGGAGGACACGCCCAGCTTCTGGAACTTCAAGGAGGTGAAGAAGGCAGCTGAGCTGATGGGTGCACCCTTCCTGGCTATGGATCAGAGACCTATGGGTCATGTCAAAAGGAAGCCAACATGTTTGATGGTGGCCAACCTGCCTCAGCTGATGGTCTGGGGGGAGTCTCTCCTTCTGAAAGGCTGTCATGGTGAAGAAGTTCGAAAAATGAACTATGAAGCACATCGTGAACCTTGGGTGTGCGGTGAATGTGGCTTGCAGGTGCTTCCAATGAACAGTGGTGAGCAACGGGAGCGTATGATCTGTAAGCTGAAGGAGGTGAATCAGTGCAAGTTCTGTGAAACCCCACTTGAGGCTCTATGCGATGATGTGATGCAAGGTCGAGTGGAATGCGATATCATGGATGCACTGAAACTTCGGGCGCAACTGGAGGACGAGCATTGGAGCTGGAAGCGCCTCTGGTCAGACTTGGCCAAAGATGTGGCTGTTGGTGAAGAAGAGGGAACTATGCAGGGCATCATCCTCGACTACATGGAGAAGATTGTCTTGGAGATGGAGGACAGGCTGACTGAACTGAGGAACTGTGATGAAGGCTACCAACTGGCCGCGATGGGGCAGAGCACTTCGTCACTGCTGTCCACGCAGTGCTGCAAACCTACACTGTTCCCCCGGCCCAGGTTCGAAGAGATCTTCCGCTATGGATTCCTCCTCTCAAGAATGAGGTGACGTCCTTGGAAACTTCCACTACAGCGGTTCGCCCGGTGAAGGTGAAGGATCTGATCAATGAGCCCGGCTATGAGGAGATGCTGGTGGTCCCGTCGAAGGTCGTACCGACGGTGAAGCCCCTGATGCTCGGAAGAAAGCCCGTATTGTACTATGCGGGAACCTAGTGGAGGACACTTCACAACGTCATGAACAGCCCGTGCCTATTGAGGATCGCCCGGAAGATCAACCTGCTCAGAAGAAGCCCATGGGAAGCTGCTTCGACCTATACGCCAGTGGCATCGACGGAATGTCTCTGAGGTGTACCTTGCGGAAGGCCGCCCAAGAGAAATTGGCCATCGGGGTGACTGATGTTTCCACGGCGTTTTTGCTCGCTCCTAGACAGTCGTCCAGGCTGATGGTAACAAAACCGCCATCGATTCTAGTGGAAGCTGGCCTCATCGAGTCCGACGTTCACTGGGTGATCGAAAAGGCAGTGTACGGTCTGGGCACATCGCCCTCTGATTGGCAAGCATACCGGGATGAAGCCCTGCAGAACATGCGTTGGTGGGAAGACGGTGTGCACAACTGGGTGGTTCCCACTCCGGAACCCAACGTGTGGCGACTCATGACCGCCCTGGGAGGTGAGGAGGACTTTGTGAATGTGATGGATGATGGTTCAACGGCTGGATATGCATTGTCCAATGTCGACGACTTTATCATCACAGCTCCTCGCTCGACGGCAGAACGCTTTCTGAAGAGGCTCTCAACCATGTGGAAGTGCGCCGAGCCAAAGTGGGTGACACAAAACCAATGGTTGAAATTTTGTGGAATTGAGATGAAGTGGAATGGTGATGCTTTGTTGGTCGGACAGCCGGACTACACCAGGGAGATTGTCAGTCGGTATCCCGATCTTCAGCCTCGCCAAGTACCGCTTCCAAAGTTGGATGACGTGGACCTGGAGGAGGGAATTCTTCAGGAGGATGTGAGCTCCTCTGGCTATCGACAAGAACAAGGCCGGATATAAGCTTTGCTGTCTCCTACTTGGGTTCCAGGGTGACCAAATGTCCGAAGAGAGTGCTCAGGAGCCCTGTTCTGAGGAGCTGGACTCCTATGGCCGACGAAGTA